CGGTCCGGGAATATCCCACATGCCGCGGAGCGGCTGGGCCCGTGAGCCATGGCCGCTGAGCCTGCGCGTCCAGAGCCTGTGCTCCGCAATGGGAGAGGCCACAGCAGTGAGAGGCCCGCGTACCGCAAAGAAAAAAACAAAAAAAAAACAAAAAACAAAAACAAAAAAACCCACAATGAGATATCACTACACAACCATTAGAGTAGATAAAACCCATAGCACCGACAATACCTAATGCTACTAAGGATGTGGAGCTACAGGAACGCTCATTCATTGCTGGTGAGAATGAAAAAAGGGCCCAGCCACATTGGAAGAGAGTTTGGCATTTAGAAAACAAAACAAAACAGAAAAACCCAAATATATTTGTACCATACGATCAAGCAATCGTGCTCCTTGGTATTTACCCAAATGAGTTGAAAACGTACATACGTCCAAACAAAAACCAGCACACAAATGTTTATGGCAGTTTTATTAAGAATTGCCAAAAAATGGTATCAATCAAGATGTCCTTCAGTAGGTGAACGAATAAACAAACTGTGGTACATCAATAAAATGAAACATTCGGCAAACAAAAAGAAATGAGCTATGAAACCACGAAGACATGGAGGAATCGTCAATGCATATTGCTAAGTGAAAGAAGCCAATCTGAAAAAGCTACATACTGTATGGCTCCAACTATATGATATTCTGGAAAATTTGTAACTATGGAGACAGTAAAAAGACGATTGGTTGCCAGTCTACTTAAGAAAATAATGGCTTCAATTTCTTTAATTATATTAGCCTATTTGGGGTATCCACTTCTTCTGTCAGATGGGCACACTGTATTTTTGAGAAATTTCTCCGTTTTATCCAAATTACCAAATGTATTGGTAAATCTATAATATCCCTTTATTACCCTTTTAGTGTGTATAGGACCTGTAGAGATGTCTTCTTTTTCATTCATGATATTGATAATTTGTTCTCTCTCTCTCATCAGTCTTGCTAGGGGGTTTTCAATTAGTATGTTGGTTTTCTAATTCATAGATTTCTGCTATTACACTTATTTCCTTCCTTCTACTTTCTTTAGGATTGATCTACTATTCTTTCTCTAGCTTTCTGAGATGTAAATGTAAATAACTGATTTTTAGCTTTTGCTCTATTATAAGATATGCTTTTTTTTTTTGCAGTATGCGGGCCTCTCACCGTTGTGGCCTCTCCTGTTGCGGAGCACAGGCTCCGGACGCGCAGGCTTGGCGGCCATGGCTCACGGGCCCAGCTGCTCCGCGGCATGTGGGATCTTCCCGGACCGGGGCACGAACCCGTGTCCCCTGCATCGGCAGGTGGACTCTCAACCACTGCGCCACCGGGGAAGCCCCAGATATGCTTTTTTATGGCAATAAATTTTCTCCTAATATTGCTTAAGCATCCTGAGAGTTTCAATAACATATACTCATTATTAACCACTTCAATATATTTTCTAGTTTCCACTTTTCTTTCTTTCTTGACCCCTGGATTATTTAGAGATGTAGTGCCTGATTTACAAGCAGTTGGGATTTTCTAGTAAAATTTACCTTATTGATAGTTTAGTTTCAATGTAGTCAGGGAATATACTCAGTTTGATTTCAATCATTTGAAATTTGATATTCTACTCATACTTGAAAACAATGTGAATTCTATTGTTGTTGAGCACAGTGTTCTATTTCAATGAAATCGAATTTGTTAATTGTGTTGTCCAGATCGTATATAACTCTACTGATTTTTTTTTGTCTATTTGTTCTATCAGCTACTGAGAGAAATGTGTTAAAGACCTTCACTATGGTTGTGGAGATGTTAATTCTGTCAATTTTTGCTTTATAGTTTAAATTTATAAAATGTCCCTCTTTATCTTCTGTAATGCTTCTGGCGTTAAAATATTTGTCTGATATTGGTGTAACAACACCACCTTTTGGGGACACGTTTGCGTGGTGTTATCCTTTCCATCCTTTTGTTTTCAGCCTTTCTGTGTTCTTACATTTAAAGCATTTCTCTTGTGAGCACTGTATAATTTTTTAAAAATCATTTAACAATTGTAGGTATAGAATTCTAAGTTGACAGGTTTTGTTTTTTTTCTTTTCAGCACTTTAAATATGTCATTTCATTGTATTCTGGCTTCCACTGTTTCCACAGAGAAGGGAGCTCTCAGTTTAGTTGTTGCTCCTTTGAAGACTAAGTGTATTTTTTTCCTCTGGCTGTTTTTAAGATTTTTCTCATTACCTTTTTTCCCTCAGAAGTTTGACAAGGAGGTCAAACCTCTCTCTCTCTCTCTGTGTGTGTGTGTGTGTGTGTGTGTGTGTGTGTGTGTGTGTGTGTGTTTAAAGTAAACTCCAGACTTTATTGGGATTTCAGCCGTTTTTCCATTAAGATTCTCTGTTTCAGGATCCCACATTGCACTTAGTTTTCAGGTTTCCTCGGTCTCCTTCAGTCTGTGAATTTTTCAGTCCTTCCTTGTATTTCATGACACTGGAGTGAGTACTGGTCAGGTTATCCTGTAGAATGTCCCCAAATCTGGGTTTGTCTGGCATTTTCCTCATTATTAGTCTTGGGTCATAGGGTTTTGGAAAGAATATCAGAGGTGAAGTGCTCTTCTCATGTACTTTTATTTTTCTCTTGTGTGAGGTTTGCTGAGCTTATTGACTCTGTGGGCTGATGTCCTTCATCGATTTTGGCCAACTGACTGTTGGCAGAAGAGATACTGTGCCAGTTCCAGGCTCAGGCCCTAGGAGGCATCACATGTCTCTGCTTACCCCTCCTATGCTAACATGCTGACCCAAGGTACCCGAGGAACCCATAGAGCAGACCTGAACCCAACCTGCAGCTTGGAGCCAAGCCACTCTGAGCCCCACCTTGATCCCCAGATGTCCTGTAGCTGTACGAGCAAGAATAAATGATCACAGCTGTAGTCCGTCGAGCATTCGGTGTGCTTTCCTGTTCGCAACGGCTAGCTGACACAGAGCTGAAGCCTCCCACGGTTCCTTCTTCCCCCGTCTCATGTGGTTGTGCTGGAAGCCTGGTACTTACCTATTTCTCCCAGGTCACAGGTGTCCTCCACCATCCCTTCACCCCCTTTTCTCTCCCTCCCTATGAGCCAAGTCTAATAACAGCCCCAGGTCCAGAGGGTCAGCAAGGATCTCGCTTCCCTTCCTTTCGGCAGCACGATGAGGCTTACGCAGAAAATTTCGGCACAAGTGTATTTTTGATAGAGAGGAAAATTACAAAAAGATAAACAAAACAACCCCCCAAGAATCTTATTTCCACTCTATGTGAAGTGATTTACGTGAACTAGCCAACTAGCAGGAAAATAACTGTAAGTCATTAAATCCAGGAGGAATCAAGTTTTATTAGACAATAATATTAAATTCCACTGGTCTATTCTTGAACAGCTGTCAATCATGAACGTCTGTCAATAGTAGCACAACCAGCTCACACAACAAAAAATATTGAAGGTATATTGCCAACCACTGTCTGGCGCCTGAAGCAAGGACAGATGGCCTTGACAGCAGAAGGGTGACCGACCATATGCGGTCAGAGACGCTCTGTCCACTGCTCTCAAGTCCTGAGTACTCTGGGCTGGGCTTTCGTGGGCTCCTGGAAGCCCAGAACCTTTGGAGCAGATGAAGCCGGAGCAGGACGGGAAGGAGGGGTTCTGTGCGGAATACAATTGTCTCGCTTCCGTGGTTACTTTCTCCACCTCTACGAGTCCAAATCCCGGGCCCAGGCCCGCCCTCCGCCTACCATCCTAGCCCACATCAGCTTCCAGCTTCTCAAACCACGGCAACCCGGTAGTTAAAAATTTGGGCTCTCATGTTGTATCAGCCGTTTTCCCCTCAGCTATCCATCCTCTTCCCCTCTGGGAACTTGCCCAGGCGCAATGGTGCCAGTGAACTCTGGGGCTGGAAGATTTCACACACAGGGGAGTGAGATGGGAAGTGGGGCACAGGGGCCAACCTGGGAGACGAGGAGGTGAAGGCATGTGTGCAACCCTCCTCTCACCCTGGCGAAGGCAATTCTTCCTTCAGAGGGCTCCTTACCCCCTCGGTCTGGGTCCTGCCCCGTCAGTGAATTGGAAAGGAGGGAATGAAGAGCATCGCGAGAGCAGCGAGAGCATCCCCTCCCCACCCGCTGCCCGACACGCGAGTCAGGGCTTCAGAGGTGACGCCGCTGATCTTTACTGAGCACCTGCTATGAGCCTGCGGCTGAGCCAGGCGCTTTGCAGACAATTTTGTCTCAGCCTTTTAAGGAGGTCTTATATCCCCCCATCTTCGTGCTCAGGAAAGGGAGGCTCAAAGAAGCTAATTCACTCCCTTCTGGTCATTTAGCTAGAAGGTAACTGAGCCGCCACTGAATCTAAGCCCGTCCTGTCTCCCAAGGATCTCAATCCGGAAAGAGGCTCCAGAGAGAGACAAAGGGTGTGTGCGTGTGTGCGTGTTTGCGTGCCTGTGTGCACGTGTGTGTGTGTGTGTGTGTGTATGTGTGAGACAGAGAGGGGCGTGGGATGGGGGCGACGGCACTGAGGTCAGAAGAGTCGCATCTACGTTTCTGCCACCTGAACCCCTGAGTAGGGGGACTGAAATTCCAGACTCCAAGGGCTCCCCAGGTCCCTGACAAAGTAAGGGGTGGGCCTGGCCAAGGGCCGGGGGAGGAGGCCTAAACCACACCCCAGAGCGCCAGAGCCTCAGCTCTTTCTTCTAGAAAGGATGCTAGACGGCACGAGGCCGGGCCTTCGGAGGCCAGCCCGCCCGCCCATCCTTCCTACCTGAGGGATCTGAGGGGCTGCAGGGCCAGGCGCCTGTTTCTTTCCCAAACAGAGCCCGGAGGCGCCATCAACCCCCTAGCCCCTGCCCCCTGCCTGCTGCAGGGCCCACAGCAGGACCCTGACCCAGCACAGGGTCATCCAGTTCTCCACGGGGAGCGAGGCCCTCCAAGAGGGAGGGGGCTCCGAGGAGGCTGCCCCCGGGCTTGCTGTCCAGGCTGCTGCCGGGCCGCTAGGGCAGAGCTCCACTGAAAGTCATGATGGGCAGACACAGCAGGGAGCAGAGGTCGGGTGCAGCCTGCGCCTGCAGGTAGGAGGGCCTCTGGGGTGGGGGGCAGAGGCTGCTCTTCTCTGGCTTGTAGCAGGGTGAGACCTCACACCTGTGGGGAAGGGCAGGTGTCAGGGCAGGCCTCCCACCCCTCCAGCTCCCTCCAGGCCTCTGGGTGGGCGCTGAAGCAGAGCTGGGGGCCCCCGCTTTCCTACCTGACCACACTCTGCAAGATCTTCCTCTCGTCCTGGTCCAGGCACACGACAAAGGGGCAGCCGTTAGAGCCGACAATCTGCACCTTGTCCACTTTGATCTGCGACGTGCTAATCTAGAAGGAAGGCCCGGGTCACCCGGGAGCCCTGGACCCAGAGCTGCCGGCCCTCGGCAGCTTCCTCCCTTGGAACCGCCCGACTGGGTCCAGAGGGTGGGGCAGGAGCTCGGCTGCCAGCTCTCCAGGCGCGATGGGCGTGCAGGGGACTGGTCCCTCCATCGGGCCCTGCTTCCTCCCCAGCCTCTGCCCTTTCTTGAGTCTGGAAGGAGCAAGTGTCCTGGGACGAGAAACCCCACTGTCCTCACCGTGACAGCCCGGGTTCCCTGACACAGAGGCCACTCCGCCTTGGGCTCGGGGCTGCCCTGGAGGCCACCACGGAGCCCCAGAGGTGTGCACACCCTTCACCCGCCTCTCCTCCCACCCACAGGCCCCAACGCAGCCCTTGGACACCCCCCCATACACACGCACACACACGCACACGCAGGCACACACACGCCCAGTAAGTCTCCCGAGGGGACAACAGAGAGGAGAGGAAAGCTCTTACCTGGTTGAAGCCCTTCTTGGATTTAGGGTTCTGCCTTTTCACCACTTCTGTCAGGTTTAGCGTCAGGGCCTCCGTGCTGGAGTCTGAAGGGCAAGGGTGGCTCAGGCCAGGCTCAGGAACCCACCC